TATATATATATATATATATATCTCAAGTTTGCTATACATTGATTCTTTTGTCTGTGGGTCATAAAGAATTTGGTAGTTTTTCTTGTAATATCTTTGTCTAGTTTTGGTATTAAGGTAATGCTGTCCTGTAAAAAAGAGCTGAGAAGTACTCTCCTCTTATTTTCTGAAAGAATTTGTGTAGAATGGGTATTATTGGTTCCTTAACGGTTTGTTAGAATTCATCAGTGAAGCCGTCTGAGCCTGAACACTTCTTTGTGGGAGGGTGTTTTACTAGCAAGTTCACTTTCCTTAATTAGAATTAGGATTCTTCAGGTTATCAGTTTTTTATTCTTTAGTGAGCTTTTGTAGTTTGTGTCTTACAAGGAATTTGTCCATTTCATCTTAGTTGTAAAATTTATTGGCATAAAGTTGTTCAAAATATACGTACTCTTTTTATCCTTTTGATGTTTGTATAATCCGTAGCAACACCCCTCGTATTATTGGTAATTTATGTCTCTTACTTTTCCCTGTGGTCAGTTGGCTCCAGGTTTATTAATTTCATTGATCTTTTCAAAGTACCAGCTTTTGATTTCATTGATTTCCTCCATTGTTTTTCTGTTTCCTATTTCTTCACTTCTGCTCTTATCTTTTAAAATTCCTTTCTTTTTTATTACTTTGGGTTTAATTAACTCACTTTCTAGTTTTGTAGATGGATGCTTATATCATTGATATGAGACTTTTTTTCTTTTTTTAATTAAAGTTTATCGGGGTGACAATGGTTAGTAAAGTTACATAGGTTTAAAATGTACAATTTTTTAGCACATCGTCTATATATCACATTGTGTGTTCACCACCCAGAGTCAGGTCTCCTTCCATCACCATATAGTTCATCATGTTTACCCTCATCTACCACCCCCTTCCCCCCTGGTAACCACTTAACTATTGTCCATGTCTATCAGTTTTGTTTCTTTGTTTGTCTTGTTCCTTTGTTGCTTTGACTTTTATAGCCCACATATCAGTGAAATCAGATGGTTCAACTTTTTCTGTCTGATTTGTTTCGCTTAACATAATAATCTCAAGGTCCATCCATGTTGTTGCAAATGGCACTATTTCATCTTTTCTTATGGCAGAACAGTGTTCCATTGTGTGTGTGTGTGTGTGTGTGTGTGTGTGTGTGTGTGTGTGTGTGTATAATATCACATCTTCTTTATCCAATCATCTGTCAAAGGACTCTTTGGTTGTTTCCGTGTCTTGGCCACCATAAATAAAGCTGCATTGAATATCAGAGCACATATTCTTTATGGATGAATGTTTGCAGATTTTTTGGGTAGATACCCAGTATTTAATGCTATAAATTTCCCTCTAAGCCCTGTTTAAGTAGCCTTTGACAAATTTTGACGTTTCAGTTTCAGTTTCATTCAGTTGAAAATATTTTCTAATTTCCCTTGTGATTTCTTTTTTGACTCATTGGTTATGTAGAAGTAGTGTGTTTAATTTCCAAATATCTGGGGATTTGCCAGATAGCTTTCTGTTATTTTTCTCATTTAATTCTGTGCAGTCAGGGAACATACTCTATATGATTTTAGTCTTCTTAAATTTATGGAAACTTGTAGCACAAATTATAGTTTAACTTGATAAATGTTCCATGTGCACTTGTAAAGAATATATATCCTGGTGTTATTGAGTAGTGTATTCTCCAAATAATCAGGTCAATTTGGTTGATTGTGACAGTAAAATCTTCTACATCTTTACTGATTTTCAATCTGTTTGTTGTAGCAATGACTGAGTGAGGAAAGTTGAAATCTTCAATAATAATTGTGGCTTTCTCTGTTTTTTCTTTTCAATTCTATCAGTTTTTACTTAATGTATTTTGAAGTTCTGTTTTTAGCTGTATTTACATTTAGGATTGTTAATGCTCTCTCATGACTTGAACCCCTCTAATCATTATGAAATGCCTCACTTAAAATCCCTGATAATATCCTTTGTTCTTAAATCTAATTTGTTTGATATTATTTTAGCCATTCTGGCTTTCTTATGATTATTACTCTATTTACCATGTAAATAGTGCAAGTTTGTGTTTACCTGCTTTGAGGCTCTAGCTTCTTGTGAGCAGGGACAGTGTTTTGTATGTCTTGGGACCCCAGTAAACAAATGCAGTTTTGGGGTACAGGGTGACTTCCCAGTAAATGTTTTTAGAATGAGTTATTGAATAAATTTGGTGGCAAATTTTTATTTTTATTTCCCTCAGAATGTAAATCACAATACAAGAAAAATGATAGACTTTCTTTACAAGTTTTCATATGAGTGCCACAAAGGAATGGGATCAAAACTAGTCCCCAATATCTAGTCAACTTGTTCTGATCACAGTTCCTATCCATTGCAGGGATCCGTGTCATTCAAAGATGTGACTGTGGACTTCACTCGGGAGGAGTGGCAGCACCTGGATCCTGCTCAGAAAACTCTGTATATGGATGTGATGTTGGAAAACTATTGCCACCTTGTTTCTGTGGGTAAGAAAACGTCTCTGAAACTTTCAGTAGCATGTATTTCCTTTCAAAGAGCCTAAAGTATGTGTGATTTTAAATTTCAGAGATAAGAGGTGTTGAATCCTTTTTGGTTAGTAGAAATGATGATTGTGTCTTCACTTGCTTGGTGCAAGGTGTTAAGTTTAGTATTACACAAAGGTATATATTAATTTGAAGTACTGAAAATGCACTTTACCAATTTCTCAAGTGTGTTGAAGCCTAAGCAGCTTAATCCAAATCTTCCCTTATCAGGGTGTCACATGACAAAGCCTGATGTGATCCTCAAATTGGAACGAGGAGAAGATCCTTGGACATCATTTACAAGTCATACCTGCTTAGGTGAGTTTCTGACTCTCAGGCAGATGAAACTAATGGAAAATAAATTCTAATGTGGTCATGTGGTTGGTGGCACCTTTTTTTTTTTTTCAGCTGAGCCATCCTGCTACCTGTTGGCAGCTCAGTGGCAGCTCAGCTTGGGCCAGGCATCGAACTGCTGTTGCTCAGAGCTCAAATTCTTGAGCGAGCTCTTAACCAACTGAGCCACTCGGCCGGCAAGTGGCACCTTTGAAATATTCAGGGAGTGTCTCTGTATAGGCTCCTAACCTTTGAAATGACAATTGTGCCTGCAAACTTAAAGCAAACTTTCAAATATCACTCTCCCTATATAATATTCTTTCCTAATTTCCTTGATGTTATTCAAAGATAGTTACCATTGTTGACTTAATCAAAATGTACTATGAGCCTTCCTTTTATTAAATCTTTTTTTTTTAATTTGTGCATATTTCTAGCATCCTCAGTCCCTTATCTAACTGCCTTTTTTTGCTTTGTTTTGTTTTGTTTTGTTTTGTTTGGGCTTTCTTTTTTTAAGATTTTCTTGGGGAATTGGGGGAGGGAACAGCATTGGGAAATCGGGGAAGTGAAACAGACAAGTTGCTGTCCTTTTGTTCTTCAGTCTAGTTGAGGAGCACATCGCTTCACTGGCCCATGTTGGTATTATCATTGCACTCTTCCCGGCTGAGGCAGATTGATCACTGGCCACTGGATGGCCGCTCACAGCGGCTCTTGGCTCTTGTCTGATTTGCCTTCAAAGGATAAGCCTTTGAATTATAATAATCTCATCTGTTCTCCAGACTTAAGCTCTTTGTTTTATGTTAATGCCTCTAAGTGGACATACTCACCATATTTTCCCAATCTTCACACTATTCCTTTAGGAGTTCTACACTCTGATGTCTCACCTATTTTGTGACAATATGTTGGAAATGAAAATCATTAACTTTCCTCACTCTTAAATTATTTTCCTTTATATATTTCTATATTATTTTTCCCGCCTGATATCAGCTTCATTCTTCTGTGTCTGTCATCATCTCTTAAGAATCTCTACACAATTTGTGTTAAGTTTATCAGCCTGTGAAATATATTTGTCACTTACATCATACAAAATAACTCACTTATTTAATGTCTTAACTACTGCAGTTACAATTTGGCTTTTCTAAAATTTTTGTCCGAGTTCTTTAGGTTTATATTGTTATTTTTCTGACAAGATATATCACTTGTTACCTGTTATTTATTATATGAAATTGAAATTCTTCACTCAAGGACTAACATAATAAGCCCTGATCTGGTCTTTTCAGCTTTATATCTCTCTTGTGGAAAACTCTTGCTAATGTCCACTTGGTCCAGTTTCCTAACTTTTCTCCATATATGAAGGATTTGTCATGATGTCTGTACTTTTCATTGTGTTGTATTCTCCCTTCCACATACTATATATCTTATAGTTCAGTCTTGAGATTTCTTCTCCATGATGTATTTCTTTACTATTCCACATCATATCTACCTTTTTTTTTTCTGAATTCCCATGCTATTTACATATTGTAAGTAACACACAAAATGCTTGGATATGATTATATAATTTAATACCTGATTGTACATAGTTTATGCTTAAGGATTCTTTCCCTCAAATATAAGATCCTCTGCTTCAATCTTTGCTGTAGTATATAACATGTTAGGTATTCAGTAGTTGCTTCACAAACTGTTTGTGGAGCTACACAGGGGAGATATCTTTTTCTCCTATTCAAAAAACAGGATTGTTTCAGATATATACCTGTTCAGGCTATGGCTCTATAGATTCTGATTGAAATGTTTTGATTCTACCAAGCACTACTTAACTATGATACACAGTATAGTATTATAGAAAGTAAACTTTCTTTAGGTGAGATTTGTCGGATAGGGGGACAAACCTAAAATCTTGTTTGCGTATAAAGAGTGAATCTAGGTGATGTAAAGTTTTGTTTACAGGAGAAATTCCTTGTATGTTAGTACTGGAGGTAATGGACTCAAAGAAGAGAAATATCTTTTAACCTAGATTTAACATTGTTCCAGAGATGTGGATGATCACAAAGTAACAGAAATCAAATATAGCTCTAAATTTATAACAGAAATGAAGGTTAAGGTTAATGAATGATCTAGAACCAAAATGGACAATCTGATCTTTCTGGTCCACTATATGGAAAACTGGAGTTAAGGAATGTTACTGTATTGGGAAAAGACTTGAACTGGTCTTTCTTTAAACCTGAAAATGTAAGTCAGCAATTGAAAAGAGGAATAGTTATATTTGATGGTCATGAGAGTTTTTTTTATTGAACAATTCTGAAAGAATTTATATTGGGCCATTGGGAAAGTCATGACGTATTTTTCTGTGTTTTTCAATGCAAAAATGCGTCATGACTTTCCCAACGACCCAATAGTAACAGCAATCTGAATGCACCAGTGAATATACCCCTAATCTGTTTTAAATTTCCTGTTATAAATGTTTCCCTAGTTCTTTCCTCACAAGGGAAAATGATTCCCAGCTATTTGGAGGATTGGGCCTGGACTGTAGGATAGTTTTCCTTAACACTAAGAAATTAATTGATGCTTGGGAAGATGAATTAGCTATTAATGGCTACGTTGATGGGGTTAGTGGAAAACTGGAAGCGTTTTACCTTGCAATCTAGAGGTGATGTATAATAGTATAGGCTCTGATATGTGTCCTCCAGAAGTAATTTTTTCTCTAATATTTTCCCTGAATAAGCTTTTCTACTAATCTTGTCCATCCTGCTTAAAGCTTAGCGCCCTTGATAGGTTCACTTCAATGCCTATTCCAGCTATCAATCATTCTTCCACCATTCTTTGTCTTCTACTCACTGCTGCTTGTGTGCATTCAACTTTCATTATGAAGTTCTGGTGCAAAAATTATTAGTGTTCAATCCTTATTTTTTTATTCTTTTCCATACTGAAGCAGAGTTTTTATTTAGCTTCTGTGTCTTCTTCCAGGCAGGGAGTAATTTGTCTTTGGTTTTTTTGGCCTCATATGATAGACCCTAGTACAATTCCTTTTCATAGCAAATGTGTGAAGATTCATAAATTGTTGTTAATTCTTTTATAGATGAAAACTGGAAAGCTGAAGACTTTTTAGTGAAGTTCAAGGAACACCAAGATAAGTATTCTAGATCAGTTTTATTCATTAACCACAAAAAACTGATTAAGGAGAACAGTAATACATATGAAAAGACATTTACTTTAAGCAGAAGCCCTATAAATTCAAAAAATTTACTTCCTGAATATGACAGTCACGGAAAAAATTTTAAAAATGTTTCAGAATTAATCATCAGTAATCTAAGTACTGCAAGAAAGACACTTAGTGAGTATAATGGATATGAGAAATCACTCCTCAGTAGTAAACCAGAGACAATTCACCATGGAGTCAAATCTCATAATCAACATGGCAGGGCTGTCAGTCATAATGAAGTGCTTATGCAGTATCATAAGATGGAAACTCCAGCACAGTCACCTGGATATAATGACTGTGAGAAATTATTCAATAAAAAAGGAGGCTTAATTACACATCATAGAGCTTACAGAAAGGAAAACCCATCTGAATATAATAAAAGGAGAAGGGCAACCAATGCTGAAAAAAAACATACATGCACTGAATGTGGGAAGTCATTCTGCAGGAAGTCAGTATTGATTCTGCATCAGGGAATTCACACAGAGGAAAAACCCTATCAGTGTCATCAATGTGGAAATTCATTTAGAAGGAAGTCATATCTCATTGATCATGAGAGAACTCACACAGGAGAGAAACCCTTTGTTTGTAATGAATGTGGTAAGTCCTTCCGCCTAAAGACAGCCCTCACTGATCATCAGAGAACACATACAGGGGAGAAATCATATGAATGTCCACAATGTAGGAATGCCTTCAGATTGAAGTCACACCTCATTCGTCACCAGAGAACCCATACAGGAGAAAAACCATATGAGTGTAGTGACTGTGGGAAGTCTTTCCGCCAGAAGACAACACTCTCTCTACATCAGAGAATTCATACAGGAGAGAAGCCCTATATTTGTATGGAATGTGGGAAGTCCTTTCACCAGAAGGCAAACCTTACTGTACATCAGAGAACTCATACAGGGGAAAAGCCTTATATTTGTAATGAATGTGGGAAATCCTTCTCCCAGAAGACAACCCTCGCTCTTCATGAGAAAACTCATAATGAGGAGAAACCCTATATTTGTAATGAATGTGGAAAATCCTTCCGCCAGAAGACAACCCTTGTAGCACATCAGAGAACACATACAGGGGAAAAATCTTACGAATGTCCTCATTGTGGCAAGGCCTTTAGAATGAAGTCATACCTCATTGATCATCACAGAACACACACAGGAGAGAAACCATATGAATGTAATGAATGTGGAAAGTCCTTCAGTCAGAAGACAAATCTCAATCTACATCAGAGAATTCATACAGGGGAAAAACCCTATATTTGTAATGAATGTGGAAAGTCCTTTCGCCAGAAAGCAACCCTCACTGTACATCAGAAAATACATACAGGTCAGAAATCTTATGAATGTCCTCAGTGTGGGAAAGCCTTTAGCAGGAAATCATATCTCATTCATCATCAAAGAACTCATACAGGGGAGAAACCATACAAATGTAATGAATGTGGGAAGTGCTTCCGCCAGAAGACAAATCTCATTGTACATCAGAGAACTCACACAGGGGAGAAACCCTACATTTGTAATGAGTGTGGTAAGTCCTTTAGTTATAAGAGAAACCTCATTGTCCATCAGAGAGCTCACAAAGGAGAAATGATAGAGATGCAATAAATGATGTGATTTCTTTGTGAAGCTTTTCTAAGATATTATAAAACCAGTTTTTTTACCAAAAAAAAAAAAAAGCATACTAATAAGATCATTTTAATTACAAACATAATAATAGTTATTGATTTAAAATACCATACATCAGGGAGCATTCGAGGTCTTGCTTTCTGGCATTGTTGTCAGTTTGGCTCAAATAAAATCTTATGAAAATCCTCAAAAAATAAAAAATTAAAATACCATACATCATAACTGTTTACTAGTTACTAGCATAAAAGGGTATGATCATTGTTACTGAACTCTATCAGCAATTAATCTAATTTTTTAACTTCATTGCTGACTCAGTTTATTTTTTAAAAACATATACATGCACAGGCAAGATAAAAAATAGTTATAAGCATCTGTCTTCATCAGAAAAAGAAAATATGAACTGTATTTCTTATTGCACTGAGTAGAATAAAAAGTAGCTGTTACTTCCCGAGAGATTACCACTTCCCTATTTTGTAACATCATGAAGTAGTTTTTGCATGTTTTTAAACTTTGTATGTTTTTATCATATATCATGAATTATTTTGTGTCTTGTTTCACTCAACATCCTTAAGATTTACACATTATTGCATGTGGCAGTAGTGTTTTCATATTCATTCTGTATGCTATTCCATTTTAAGAATATACTGCTACTTATCCTCTTGATGGATACTTGTATTTTTTATAATTTTGTGTTGTAATAAAGATACTACTATAAATAGTCTTGTGCATTTCTGTGTGCGTGCGTGTGTGTGTGTGTGTGTGTGTGTGTGTGTGTGTGTGTGTTTCTATTGATTTTATACTAAAACGAGTTACTCTGCCCAACGGTATATGGAAGCTTTTTCATCTATGATAGATACTGCCAAACATGTCTTAGACCTTTCTCCACATGAGATGATTCACTTTGGAGAGTATGGCTCTAATTGTAATAAATGTGGAGAAAGGTCTTTAGCAGTCATTCAACTGAAGAATTCCTACTTGAAGGAAATTCTTATGATGTTATAATTGTGAGAATGTTGTTAGTCATGAATATGTGAATGTCATAAATGTAGAAACACTGTTAGCTGTGGCTTAAACCTTAAACAAAACCAGAGAATTCATATTGGAGGCAATCCTGTTGTCATGATTATAGGGGTACTTTGAGCCATAGCTTATGGTACATCCTATTCAACATCAAAGAGTTCATAATAGAGAAAGGGAGGTTAAGAGTCATAGGTGAGAAAAACTTGGAAGTATAGTAGTCACAATAGATGCAATTATAATATATATGTAAGCCTTTATATAACATAATAAGCCCATATAAAATAGCCTTTTATAGCTTGATTTATCTCACAAAAAATGTGGGTCTCTGGAAATCCCAAATGAAAAATCACTGGAGAGGTTTGGATGTTTGAGAATTGGAAATCTTCTAAGACAATAACATCTGCAGTATCTTTTCTGTGACAATAGTAAATTCAGCAGCAACTTGAACATTGTTACAAAATGCCCTTGAGGAGGTTAATTTTGATCCCATATTTACTACATACAGTTATTGTATGCAATAAAAGTTGGTAGAAATTAAAATAAGCTGGGTTTTTTTCCACCAAATGAATACAACTGTAAACCAGATCTAAGTAAGCAGGAAAATGGTTGGTAGTTCAAGTATCTGACATTAAAAAATGTTTAACAAGGGAAGTCCAAGACGGCAGATTAGGTAAATGCTATGCCTACTGAATCCCAGGATGACATCAAAATTACAAATAAATTATAAAACAATCAACCTCAAGAATCATCTGAAAGGCCGGCCGAGTGGCATGTTGGTTAAGAACTGGCTTGGGATGCCAGAGGGCCCCGGTTCGGATCCCACATATGAGGGCCAGTGACACTGCCCTCTGCAGCTAAGATGGTGAATGGCAGCTCGACCTGGGGCTGGGCTGCCATGGGTCACCGGCAACGGCATAGGCTGCAGTCCCCTGCTGCAGTGGGCTGCCATAAGCTACCGTGTGTAGCCAGCAGCCAGCATGAGCGGCCATCCAGAGGCCGGCGACTGATCTGCCTCGCCTGGGAAGAGCGCAATGATGGTGCCAACTTGGGCCAGTGAAGCAACGTCCTCCACAACTAGACTGAAGAACAAAAGGACAGCAACTTGTCTGTTCCCCTTCCCCTGATTCCCCAGCACTGTTCCCCTCCCCCAATTCTCCAATAAAATCTTAAAAAAAAAGAATCATTTGAAGATGAGCTGAACAGAACCCCTATAACTAAGGATATAAAGAAGAGGCCACATTGAGACTGGTAGGAGGAGTGGAGATGCAAAACGGGCTAACCCCAAATCCACAGATTGAGATGGGGCACCTCAGTGGCACAGGTCCCCCCTGAAGAAGGAAGGGCCCCCCAGGCCCACGCTGGGCTCCCCAGCCCAGGGGTCCTGTGCCATTAGGAGGAGTCCCCATGGCATCTGGCAGTGAAAATGAGCGAGGACTCTGCTCTTCCCAGAGGGGTAGAAGGCAGCTGGAAACCCAGACTCCCTCTTGTAGAGCCAGCGCATGGACTCGCTTGCTGCAGGAACTAACCTGGTCTCTGGTGGAGGGGTGGCAGCTCAGGAGGCCCAGATACATGTGGGAAAGGACTGAATTGCATGGCTTCAGCATGGGAGCTGGACAGGAGCAATTGTCCCTATGTGGAGCTTTACATACGTGTGGCTTACAGAAGGGCACTATCTTTTCAGGGATAAGCCCTCCGCAAAGGGCCAAGTCTGGGACTGCATTGGTCTGGTGCAGTCTGTACATGTGCACTGCCTTTGTGATGCCCTGGGTCCCCGCGCTGCACACAGCTGGTGCTACATCACCCTGGAAACTGACTGTTGGGCTGCTGGCCCCGCCCCACAGGCTTCAGAAGTCAATTTAAAGCAGGTGGAAGGCCTATGGAAGCCCAGGAAATGTTTGCTGGTGTGCAATAACCCAAGGCCTATGCTATAGCATAGATGGGTAATGGCAGGCCTGAGACTGGCAGTGGATGGCCAGAGTATTCTCAGGGCAGTTTTGTAGGGTTGTCATAGGCCCAACACCAGTTCAAGAGCCAAGACTACACTGAATTTGTAGAAACCACCAACCACACCCCTTAGATCCCTGGAATCTTGCCCTGCCCACCTGGAGCTGCATTGCCAATGGCACTCTGGGCACCTCGGTGGCCAGCTCTGCCCCACAAGCTGCAGAAGTCTTTTACTGCAGCAGACAATCCTCAATGGTCCAGGAGATTTTGGTGGTGGACAGTGACCAAAAAGCTGCGCTGCAGCCATTTGTGGGCAGCTCTCAGAAATTTGCGAGCCTGAGGCAGTGGCTGGCTGCTGTGTTCTCAGGGTGATGTGCAAAGTGGTAGCAGGCCAAGCACTGGCATAAGAACTGAATCTGCATTAAAAACCACCAGTCACATCTCGTGACTCCCTTGAACTCCACCCTGCCAGCTAGTGCTGCATCACCGAGGGCACTTGGAACACCAGGTCAACCAGCCTGGCCCACGCACCTATGGAGGCTCTTTCAACAGCTGGGCCTTATGGGCAGCTGGTTGGTGGTAACAGGCCTAGGGGCTCTAGGCCTTTTGCCAAGCTAACGCAGGCCTATTACTGGTGGAAGCTGGCCTTGGCTCACAGCAATCCACCCCCACATTCCTCCAGATCCAGCACAGGCAGCAGCCAAGAACATATAGCTTTGTGGCTCCTACCAGGTAACTATGGGCCAGTAACAGGCAGGGCTGAAATTGCCCTGCATGGGAGCCCAGCCCAAGAGACACCAGAAACAACACCCAAAACCCAGCTTCAGACCACACCAGAGCACTATCTGGTTAATCCCACAAGCGGCATGCCCAAAGGGGGCTCTCAATAGGCACAAGAGCCCTCAGAGGGGCAAAGCCCTCTCTGAGGGGTCAGATCCCACATAGCCACTCATACACTGTGGCCACAGTGAATCCTCACAGTCAACCAGCCTGGGAATCGACCCCACCTACTAACATGCCAAAAGCAATCAAGGCTCAGCTATAACAGAACACACACAACACACAAGGGACACTCCTAGAACTCAAGTACAGGAGATTAGGGAGACTGTCCATTGGACTACTCAAAATATGTACTACAAAAGGCCACCCAGCAAAGACTGAGAAACATAGATCTACCTAATATATAGAAGCAAACACAGAGCAGCAGCCACAATGAGGAAACAAAAAAAACAAGTCCCAAGTAAAAGAACAGGACAAACTTCCAAAAATGGGACTAAATGACATGGAGGCAAACAACCTACCAGAGACAGAGTTTAAAACACTGGTTATAAGAATGCTTAGGAACTTAGTGAAACTTTCAACAGAAATAGCAAGCACAAAGAATGACATAGAAACCATTAAAAAAAGTCAGAAATAAAGAATACAATAACCGAAATGAAGAATACATTAAAAGGAATCAACAGCACATTAGATGAAGCAAAGGATCAAATGAGCAATTTAGATGAGCAGGTAGAATATACCCAATTGGAACAACAAAAAGAAAAAACAATGAAGATACTTTAAGGGACCTATGGGACAACATCAAGCATAATATTTGCATCACAGATGTACCAGAAGGAGAAGAGAAGGAGCAAGGGATTGAGAACCTGTTTGAAGAAATAATGACCAAAAACTTCCCTAACCTAGTGAAAGAAATAGACATACAAGCCCGAGAAGAAAAATAGTCCCCAAAAAGATGAATCCAAACAGGCCCACACCAAGGCACATCATAGTTTAAGTGTCAAAGGTTAAAGACAAAGAGAGAATCCTAAAAGCAGCAAGAGAAAGACAACTAGTTGCTCACAAAGGAGCTCCCATAAGGCTATCAGCTGATTTCTCAACAGAAACTTTGCAGGCCAGAAGGGAGTGGCAGAAAATATCCGAAGTGATGAAAAACAAGGGCCTAAAACCAAGAGTACTTTACCCAGCAAGGCTGTCATTTAAAATTGTAGGAGAGGAGAAAAAAATAGCTTCCCAGGTAAGAAAAAGCTAAAGGAATTCATTATCACCAAGCCAGTATTACAAGAAATGTTGAAAGGACTTGTTTAAGCAGCAGAAAGGAGAAAACAAACAAAATTATGAAGATCAAAAATATGAATAGTAAATGGCAATAATTATATCAATAATCACTTTAACTGTAAATGGATTAAGTGGTTCAATCAAAAGACAGGGTAGCTAAGTGGATAAGAACACAAGAACCATGTATATACTGTCTATAACACACCTTCCTTAGATTGAAAGACACACAGGGAGCCAGCTGAGTGGCGCATTGGTTAAGAGTTGGCTTGGGAGTGCCAGGTCTGAGAAGCAGGGCCCCGGTTCGGATCCCACATGAGAGCCAGTGATGCTGTGCCCTCTACAGCTAAGGGGTGAACAACAGCTCGACCTGGAGCTGGGCTGCCATGAGTCGCCCGCGATGGCATAAGCTGCAGTGGGCTGCCATGAGCTACCATGTATGGCTGGCAGCCAGCGTGAGCACCCATCCAATGGCCAGCAAGTGACTGCCTCACCTGGGAAGAGTGCAATGATAATACCAACATGGGCCAGTGAAGCAATGTCCTCCACATCTAGACTGAAGAACAAAACGACAGCAACTTGTCTGTTCCCCTTCCCTGATTCCCGAATGATGTTTCCCTCCCCCAATTCCCCAATAAAATCTTAAAAAAAAAAATAAAAGACACCGATTGAAATTGAAAGTAAAGGGATAAAAAAAGA